ACAAATATTCCACATTATTTTCATTTCAAATATGAATAAAATGATAAGTTAACACATTTTAAATGAAAAATAACTATATTTTCCAAGACAAAAGGATTTAATTAAAAGAGTGGCACTGCTTTTTTGCAAATCTCTTTAATATCTAGCTTAATAGAAGACAACTGGGTTCTCATATCTACTTTTATAGTCAGTTACAATATGTTATTTTGATTGAAGTATATAAATAAAATCCAGCCTCACAAAAATAAGTAATTGGAATAAGGAAGAGTATTTCAATAGCCTTTTCAGATAATTGTAGATATCTTTCTTTGATACTACCCAGAAACTTGGAGAAACAATGGTTTCTTAAAATTACAATGTAGAATTTGCAATCACATAAATGAACTAACTATTGTTACCTTGCTACATAAAAACACATCGGTCTATTTTGCATTATGTATGGCTCTTTTACATATATGATTCTGTTACGTCATACATTGGTTATTTTCAACAGCTACTCGCTGAATTTGAAGATCTTCAAATATTAATGTTTATTTGCAATATTGTTGACATATGTTAATATCACCACAGAAAGTCTGTTAAGTATTGAGAATCTACCAAGCTTATGGCAGCAGAGACACACTTTTGTTTACACACACACACACACACACACACACACACACAAAATTTTTTTTTTTTTACTTAAAAGCTCAAATTTTATCCTTGGCAACAAATATTGTCAGTTGTCTTTCTTGCAGTGATAGATCATTTCATTCATTTTTATGAAAATGTGTGCCAAATACCCACATTTGAATAACCACAGTTTTCATCTGCTAGTCATTCTTTCAAATGGTGTTCTGTGAAAAAAGTGGCTAGTTGAGCTTGCAACTCAAACAACTGCACAAGTGCTTTTCCTCAAGACAACCATCACAGTTTAACATGTGGCAGCAGTACTTTATAGGTACTTCCCATCCCCAAATACAGACTACTAAAGAGATGTGTACTTAAGGGTTGAAGTCTAATAAAATTAATAATTTTTATTGCTTCATATCAAGGTTACTTTAAGTAAAACTGGCTTTTTAAAAACTTTCATGTGCATGGGTGAATACTTCAATGACAGTTTGCTGCTATTTGTCTTGATTCATGCTAAGGTGACGGTAGATTTACTAGCCACTTTTTTTTTTTTTTTTTTTTTGGCAAATTTTTAAATGAATTAAACTTTTCTTTCCAAATAATGTCTTAGTATTACTATGAAAGTAGTTTGACCCCTTTAGATTCCTTTGAGAAGGTCATGGGAGATCCCCAGGAGTCTGCAGACCACATTCTGAGAACTGCTATTACAGACTATCTTCACAGCAATGACTTTCCAGTTTTGATTCCAGTCTATGCCTCTCTCCTGATCCCAGACCTCCTGAACCCTGTAACAATGACAGATGTCTTTGCTCGCATCAAAGGCCAAGCCCCCTGCTTGAACTCTGAATCCCATTCCTGCCAGCTTCCCCCAGGTCTTTGCTCCTTCGACTATTCTGTCCTTCTCCTATACCAGCAATCCCTTCCTCTCTCATCAACATACAAACATGCTCTAGCATTTCTTCTCATTCTTATAAATCCTCCTTTGAGCTCACAGACCCCTCCAGCTACTGTGTCATTTTTCTGCTTCCTTTTGCAAACAAAGTTCTTCAAGAATTGTCTACATAACTCAATAAAGCTGGAAAACAAAACAAAACAAAATGACTTTGAAGGGAGGAAGCAAAAGGAATAATAATAAAAAAAAAAGTCATTATTTCTCCAATCTCCTCAAATGACTCCCCAGTGGTTAAAGCCAACCAGAAGACAAAGGACGAGAGAGAACACTGATGTATCTATGCAAGTCGGCTGCCCAGGGAGGGAGCAGAAGAAAGGTAAAAAGCAGAGGTAGAGGGGCAAGAGAAGGTAACTTTTGTGGTTTACTCTTTTTACTGCTTATATCCTATCTTTCCTTTCATCTGGGGAAAGATACCTATAATAAATTTATTTCCATCACCCTCTTAAAAAAAAACAAAAACAAAGAAAAAGAGAGTTGTCTACTCCTGCTTCTTCACTTCCAATTCACTCCTCCACCCTCCAATCTAGCATCTCTTGCCACCGCTCCAATAAAACTGCTCTGTTCAAGACCATAGTCAACGTTTTGTCCTCATCTTACACAGCTTCAGAAGCACTGAGTACAACTGACCATTCCTTCTTTCTTGAAATACTTTCGTTACTTTGCCTTTACACTCTGCTCGTTTTGTTTCCTTTCTATTTCAGTGACTGCTCTTTCTTGATCATTTTTTTTTTAAATCTCCTTAACTTGTAATCAACTTCTGAAAGCTGGAGTGCCTCAGAGCTAGGTCTTGGACTCAATTCCCGAAGGCTCCACGGACACTGGAAGTCTCCAGAGTTCTCCCTAAGGTCCAGAGCTCTCTCCCGATTAGTATTACCAACTGCCTGCCTGACATCTCCGCAGAGCTATCCAACAGGCATCCAAACTTAACATGTCTAACCTGTTTCTCTTCCAAACTTATTTTTTCTCTCAGTCTTCTATCTGCTCTTACTTCTCTAAGTCTCATAAGAGGCAAAGCTGAGATTTAAACTAGGCCTCTCTCTCTCTTCTTTTTTTAACATCTATACCTGTGTACATCCCTCTATATTCTGCACTGCTCCTGCAGGTCCTGCGCAAGGGGGCCTTTAGGAACAGTTCATCTTCACATAATTGTTTTCAAGTTCCAGACCTTGGGAAACAATACATGAGATCCTGTTTTGTATTCATAGAGTTTCCAAGTCCATTCTGGACAAAGTTATCAAACCAGGAAGAGATGGTAAAGATAATATAGGCTGGGTGGAGGCACAGCCAAAAGAAGCCCCGCCAGCCGGGGGTCAGTGTCTACTCAGCACCCACCAGCACAGGGTTCCTCAACCTTAGCATGACTGGCATTTGGGGCTCCATAATTCTCTGTGGTACATTCTTCGTTGTCCCGTGCGTTGTAGGATGGTTAACAGCATCCCTAGCCTCTACCTACTATGTGCCAGTTGTACCCTTCCAGTTTTTGACTACCAAAATTGTTTCTGGACATTACCGAATGTCCCCTCGGAGATAAAATCTTCCATGCCCCAGATCCAATTGCACTTACAGGGAAGTACTCTGAGTTATGTTCTGAAGGAAATAGAGAGAAAAATTCAAAAAAAAAAAAAAAGGATAAATAATAAAATATATCAAAAAATGTTTTCAAAGAATTTTTAGAGATGGAAAAATAATCATGATATAAAAGTATAAAAGAGTTTACCAAACTGTGTAAATCAAGATTCTCCAACCCCTGTGCCATGGACCAGTACTGGTCCAGTCTGTGACCTGTTAGGAATCAGGCTGCACAGCAGGAGGTGAGCGGCGGGCCAGCGAGCGAAGCTCCCTCTGTATTTGCAGCCGCTCCCCAGCTCTAGCATCACCGCCTCAGCTCAACCTCAGATCATCGGGCATTAGATTCTCATAGGAGCACCGGTCCCTGGTGCCAAAATGGTTAGGGACAATTGGTGTAAATGGTATGAGCCCCATTTTATAGGGAAAAGTTTTATATAAAAATGGAAAAAAAAAAACAACTGGAAGACTTAACAATCATAATCGTTATTTTATTGAATTAGCTTGCTATGTTCCAGCCACTGTATTAAGTGCTTCAAACAAATCTTCTCATTTAATCATCACAACAATTCTCAGTTATTGCTCTATTTTACTGATTAGGAAACAAGGGGTAACTTGCACAAGGCTACATAGCTGTGGAGAAGACAGGACTTGAAACCAAATTTACCAAGTTCCAATGCCTATCTCTTAACAGGTATTCTGCTTCATAATATACAAAGGTAGTGTATCAAACATTAACAATTCTTATCTCTAGATGGTAGAATTAAAAGAGATTTTGTTTTCTTCTTTATATTTTTCTGTCTATTCTATATTTTCTACTATGATATTTATCACTTCTATAATCAGAAAAAAATTTTAAGTACAAGTTGTGAAGGCTACTTAGTAATATGGAGAAAAGGATTATTATGCGTTAACTTAAAAAAGATACAAAATTCAATGTGAAGTATGATTACAATTATGTAAAAATATGCAGGAAATAAAAGGAAGCATGCAAAATGCTAATAGGAATTTTATTAGGGCAGTGGCACTAAGAAGTAATTTTTACTTATCATTTCCATATTACTATCAATGTAGTTATATTTTATAATAGATAAGTTTGTATTTAAAAGCAAGCTATAACAATCATCTATAATCTCACTACCTTGAAATAACACTGTTAACATTCAATAAATTTCCTTCTAGCCTTTTTCTAAGACCCACACAATCACTTAAAAACACTAACCTGAAGGAAGCAAAGAGAATTCTTACTCAACAAGCAGATAACGTTAAGTTGTAAAGGAGGACTAAAAGTTGGATTCAAAACATGACCTTGACGAAGAAAAGGAGATGGAACTAACAGAGTGTCTCTGTGTCAGTGAAAAAGTGGAACTTCTGGACTGAAAGCCTAGCTCTCCATGGACTAGACAGGACAACACTGGACAAGGTGCCTGGTTTTTCAAAACTTGTTTTGTTGTTATTGTTGTTTTTGTAATATCTACTCCCTACTTACCTCCCCACGGCCTTTCTTTGAAGCTAGCATGAGAAAATGTGTGTATGTGTATGCAAACACATTAGAAACTAAATTCTTGTATAAAGTTAAGAATCATTATTGTCCAAGCCAATAGTAAAAACAGTGGTATGCAATTCAACAACTTTTTCCAAGCAAAAAGCAAATAATATCACCACAAAATAATTCCTGTGTGACCGTATCAATTACTAATCTTGATTCAGATTTACCTGCCTAATAAAACTGCTGGAAAGGAGAGATAACTTTCAGCTCTGACCTGCAGAGAAAAACTTGTTTATGATCTGAATAATGCCAATAGGAGTCTGCAGACAGAGAATGGAGAGCTGGCTACCTGCATCTAGGGAGACAAACTGGATCTTTTACCTGCAGCTCTGCTTCCAGGCCCAGCCGTCTGATAAAGGGGTCAGTGACGTGGTAGCGCCGCTCAAAGCTCAGGGCACCCCGCTCCTGGGGAACAGAAACAAATGCGTAGTTTCATTGATTTAATTCAGAATGATTGACTATGTGCCTATTATATACCCAGCACTGAGCCAGGCACCACGGGAGCGATAAGAAATTGGCCTGCAGGAGCTTACACTATTCTTGGGCAGGAATTAGAGAATAACAGAATGGTATATAATTAAACATTAAGTTGTGCTTGTTGAGTTACCAAAAAAAATTGACAAAAGGGAAATAAAAAATTGGAAACAAAAAATAGAGAATGTTTCCATACTTAGGTTGGAAAGGGTGGGAATGATATTTAGGACTCATAGGGTGAGGAATATAGGAAGGAAAAAAAATAACTTGCATGGTCCCTCCAACTCCGTAATTCTGCACCTCTAGGAAATGGTCCTTGCCCTTGAGGGCCACCGGTCTAATGAAATCACAAAAAAACCCCATATACAGACAAAGTTCCAAACAGATTCAGGGATGCAGAGAAAAATATATGAAACAGACTAACATGCAGCGAGGACATGGCACACACAGCGGCATACACTCAGTCGTTCTAGATGGTGACCACAGCTTACGCTGCACACCACTTCAATTTGAAAAGATTTTTAATTAAAATTTTTTTTGCACTTAACCTTTTCAAAGAACTTTCTCATGTTCTTTTGGATTTCATTCTCAAGATCTGTCTGCAGGCAGACAGACATTATTATCTTAACAACATCATTTAACATCACTTAACAACATCACTTAACAGAAAATGGAGGCACACGAGATAAAATAAGTCAAGTCCTACTGGTAGTTAATTAGGGCAATGGTGAGATTAAGCTCCTGACCCCAGCTTGGGGTTCTTACTAGAGAAGTATATCATGTCTTGGTTGAACCTCTTCCATCAAACCCCTGTGCTCCTTTGAGGAGGGTTTCCGTGACAAAGCCTGGGCTACCTCACTGAATGAACTTGACTGCCCAGTCATCCATTCGTCTCACAGTATTGGAGCGTCTTCTGTGTATATCCTGCAGAGGTCAGGTGCCGGCTTTAGTACAGAAGACACTCAAAGAAAAGGGAGTCTAAGCTGAACTGGGACTAAGACTCCCAGGTTCTGTTACATGTTCGACTTAGCAGCTGGAGCAACAGGAAGAAACTATATTTACTCCTGCTGCTCTCCTCCTGCCCACACACATACACAACACGTGGATGGCTCTTCTTTCACCAGCCTCTATTAATCTCAGCGGCCCAGGTACAAGCACTTGGACAGAGGAATCTCCATGAATTCCATGTTCTTAGGTAAAGGAATACGGGAGTCAAGAGGCCTTGCTTGATTCTAGTCCGGAGTTGCCACTAATTAGCTATGTAACTTTAGGCAACTCACTGACTCTAGACCTGTGTCTTTGGATGTAAACTGAACCTGTGAGAAAGAAAGGACCATGATCATGCTCTAGTTCAGACGGTATGGGCTGCTTACCTTGATCTGCCTACGGATGAGGTCTCTAGTTATGTTGACTTTTGCCATCTTCTCTTAATGGATTCAAAAGAAGGAAGCTATAGAAGGGTCTTCAGGACCCTTGAGCATTCCAGCCAAGCCCAGGTCCACACGACACACATTTAATTACCTGGGGGGAAAAAACCATCAAAGCTTATGGGATGGAATAAGGTGGCTTCGGAGTCCTGATTTCACCCCTAAAATAGCCCACCAGCCTAATCAGTGAACTGGCTATATTGCCTCTGATTTACAACATGGCTCTTCTTTCACCAGCCTCTATTAATCTCTACAGTGATGAAGAACCTCTGGAGGGTGGAAAGGGTGGTGGTGGGGAGACAATGACTCACAACCACAGAAGTACTGGAACAAACATTGAAGGAGTCGTGTATGCTTCACCAGAAAATGGGGAGTTGGATATGAGTATGAAGGAAGATGGAAGCGTATCCTGAAAATAAGAACAGGGCACACAGCAAGAAGGAGATCACGTTTCACTTGCTCACTATGCAACTGTGACAACCAGTCTGAAACTTTTAATTATGTTTCAAATCCCTGACCCTCAGCTTGGCTTGCCCCCAAACCAAATCAGTATCACAGACAGAACATACAACCCTCTAACAGATTCACAGAATCAAAGAGTGGACAGGAGATATAATGCTGTCCAAGATCCAATCTGAAAAAGAACTCCCACTTCAACATCCTGATAGGCAGGCTTTTGATCTTACTACCTCTCAAAGTAACCTATTTCTGTATTACGACTGATGGCTAGAAAGACCTAGTAATCTCATTTCTGATAACTTACCATAAGATAACACAAAATGTAAAAAATAAAAGAGTTCCATGCCCAAACATATTCATCACAGATTTTGTAAAAGCAAAAAAGTTAAAGCCACTCAAGTGAAAGAAGTGTTAAATAATGTATAGCCATGTGAAATTATGCAGCATTAGAAATGCTGCTTATGAAGGAAAAAGGTTTATATGACATCAAATGTTTAAATAACATGATGTTCTTTCGATAAACATTATCACAGTTATGTTTAAAAAGGAAATATTAAAAATAATAATAGCACACACTGTTAAAATGTACAACTGAGACTTACTGGATTTCATTAGCCAACATCACCATAATAAAAAATAATAATAATAGCTACCTTTGTATAATTGTTTTTTTCTACTTTTTGACATGTTCAAATTTTTTTCCACAAAAGCACATTAATTTTGCAATAAAAACAAACACTAGAGAAAAAATGAAGCCCTAGGTTTTCAAACAAGGTTCTGTCTCCTGTTATTTTTACCTTTTGGTCCTCGTTCTACCGTTGGAGCCACATAAGAGGTCTCTTTCTCCCCAACCCCTTATTTATTATTTTCCACCTAAATCATTTTTGTGAAATTTTTAATTAAAAATTATTGTGGGTGACATTAACAAAATCAAATGTTTCAAGTATATCATTCAACAGAAAGTTGTATATATATGTTGCACTGTGTGTTCACCACCCAGAGTCAGATTTCCTTCTGTCACCAAATTATTTGACTCTCTTTACCCCTATTTACCTCCCCCCCTCCCCCTTCTCTCTGGTAACCATTAATCCACTGTCTGTGTCCATGAGTCTCTGTTTGCTTGTCATGTTTGTTTGTTATTTTCAATTTTATAACCTCCATGAGTGATATCATGTGGTTTTCAACTTTTTCTGTCTGGCTTATTTTGCTTAGCATGATTATCTTGAGGTCTATCCATGTTGTTGCAAATGGCAGTATTTCATCTTTTCTTATGGCTAAGTAATATTCTATAGTATATATGTACCACATCTTCTTTATCCAATCATCTATCATAGGACACTCCGGTTGCTCCATGTCCTGGCCACCAAGAACACACTGTTATGAACATCGGGGTGCATTTATCTTTGCGGATGTTTTCAGGTTTTTTTGCTGGATCATATGGCAATTCAATGTTTTGCAGATTCCTAACACACTCTCTTGAAATCACACCTTCTCCATCTGATCTGTGAGTGTACTTTTTTTTTCCTTTGGCATTTAACCACAAATGGAAACTATATAAACACTATGTTACTGCAGAAATTTCTTTTTCTTTAGTGGTAGGCACATAGTAGGACAATGAAAAACCTTGCTGCCTGATTTGCTGTTCCCATTTAGCCAGAGTTCTTTGGAGCTTATGCCTCCACGATCTATTCTGGGATCATAAGCTCTTAAAAGGATAAAAACTTTCCTTACGATGTGGAAGCCATCCAGCATTGCATCTTACTGAGCATCACCAAGGATGGAAGTCACTGGCACTATTTAAGATCACAAAACCTGTAAGCATGAGGGCTTCTGTCGGGCCAGCAAGTTAAAAATGTGAATTTGAACAAACTGACAGAAACTAAACACTGGCCTGCAACTGTGTTTATGGCCCTGGTTTGTGAATAATGATCAAAGCCAAAACAACAGTAATTTCCCCCATAATTACCAAGAATATAGGTGAGGCTTATTATAATGGAAAGAACACCAAACTCAGCAAGTATATCTGGTACTAAGTAAGACCAGTTATGTGGCTTGGATCAAGTCTCTTAATTTCCCCAAGTAAGCACTCATTCCTGTGACTCACAGATACAGGAAGCACAGGAACAAACACTGAAGGGGCCATGTGCACTTCAGCAGAAAAAGGCTCATTCTTTTCTTTGGAAGACTGCTGGGAGGGTCAAATTAAATAACATAGTACAAAATTTTTAAATTTTATTTGAAAAATAATATAAGTAATTTATCTGCTAAGAAATAGTAAATTGGCTAATATAATTCACTTACTTACTATATACCAGGAATTGTGCTAAATGCTTTACATTTATTCATTCATTTATTTATTTAAGAAATGAGCAAAAGAAGCTTCTGTTATTATGTCAGGTACTATTCTAAGCTCGGGGAATACAGCGGTTCCTTACTCTCATGGTACTTACATTCTAGCAGGAGATAGATGATAAACAATAATACAAATAAAATAAGAATATATCCAGTAGCGATAAGTGCTATGATGAAAACAAGCTGATATGAGAGTGATTGATGGGCTACTTGTAGACTTGAGGTCAAATCAGATATAGCGCGCATTTTGTGGAGTTTCCTAACTGCTCAGAATTTGAAACCTTTCTATATTTTGGGAATCCTCCATCTAATAAGTCTGGCGGGAGGCAGAGCACCCTCCACTATGAAGTGAGAATGGTGGAGACTACGATTTTCTTTCTGAAGCTCCCTTGAAGCTAAAGTGTGTGTATACGGCCCCGGTGGACCCGGCTATGCCAACTGGACACATCATGCCCAGAACTCAACTGGGATCTGGTAACAAAGAATCAGAGGACACAGAGAGTCCATTCTGGCAGCAAGGGGTGGCTATAGCCTAGGCCATGAAGGTCCAGTCAGCTGGTAGTGGTGGCGTAAACTGTCTACGTGGCAGTAGCAGTGACCACATGGACTGGTTCTGTGAATGATTCGGGCTGTGGGTCCTGGCTGCTACTCGGTTTTCTTTGTTCCAGACCATTCTTCAAACTTGGCTTTGTGGCCTTCCATGATATTTTGTGAATTTCTCTAATATCCTTTCAATAATCAGCCAAAGTTGGTTTTCGTTGCTTACAACTACAAACGCTGCCCAGTAACAGAGGGGCTCCCTGAGAAGGTGGCATTTAAGCCGAAACATGAGTGACAAGAAATCACAAAGAGCTAGGGAAGGACATCTTTGAGGAGAGAGACCAGTGCTAAGACCATAGAGGAAGACTGGCTCGAAGAGCTTGTATGGTAGATGCTACTACTATTGTTTCACAGATGAGGAAATATAGAGTCATAGAGACAATTTTCACAACAAATTTCACAAGGTCACACAGCTAATACTGCAGCTGGAGCAGAGACTCAAACCCAGCGCTGTATGCACTCTTAATTACTATGGTATGTAATTTTCTAGAGTAATGATCTCTATGAGAATCGACCAACAGAGCCAACTAAATTGTTACTTCTCGTTCATTAATTTTCTTAAAACATCAACTGAGAATTTACCAAGTATCAAGCACTGTTCTAGATGTGGGGGAATACTGAGATAAAAGACACAGTACTTACAGTAAGTTCCTATACTAAGAGCATAGAGTAAAAGGCAAGGGACTTTAACTAAGGCTGGTGTGTGGCTTGGAAGTACTAAAAGGAATGAGAGGAGGAAAAATCAGAGAAATCAGACAAGCAAAAGACCACTATAATGCAGGTAAATGGCAAAATGGAAACAGGGTTTAAAACAATATCAGGCTAGTATAGGGATGGTTTAAAAAACCAAACATCAAATTTAATATAACTCAGTTGGCATTTTGGTGGACATTGCTGTTCCCATCCTGAGAAGTGACAGCATACCAGCAGATAGATCATTCTGGAGCAAAGCCCACCTTCTCTTCTCTCAAGGAAACAGTGCCTTTCTATAAACTTTTATAGGCAGACGATCATAACTGGAAACACTTCTACATAGAGATTACTTAAAAGCTTAATATTAGGAGAGAAATACCTTCACATCTACCAAGAGGCTTAACTAGTTTCATACTCCAGTCCAAAAGTCTCTCAAATATAAATAATCAGATCAATAAATGATTATTTGAATATGAGAAGATTTAATTACGGTCAAATTTTAAAATCATTATTTTAAGGAGGGTTCTGAAATAGTCAATTCTACAGAGTAAAGAACTCAATGGGTATGGAATCATACAAATGATTTGGAATTAACAAAAGAAAGTTATACATATGGTTAAGCACTAAAAAAGACTAGATAAAGGAGATTTCAGTCTCTGATGCAGCCAAGTACATATTGTTCAGTTCTGCTGAGAGGCAAAAAGACTTAAGTGACTCCAAGAATCCATAAGATAAAATTTTCAATGCCTATTTGCTAGGTACTGTGCCACACTTTGGAAATATGGCAAAGAATGAGCCAAACACAGACCCTTGTCTTCAAGAGCATACAATATAGTTGTCATTGATTGAATATTAATGGCACCAAGGCTATTGTAATCAGAGCTCCCTAAAGGGACTGAAAGAGGCTAATTTAACTGAATGACCAAAATTAATAGCTAGGACAGTAAATTCAGAAGGAACAACATGGAATAATAAATTAAATATTGTTTA